AATAATCCAGACACAAAATAATGTCACTATTAGAACCGATGTGGAAGGAACAGAGTTTTTGAGCAAACTCAAGTAGAATAATAGGAAACCACTGTATTTTCAACAAATCCAAAGCCACAGGATCTTTACAAAGTTAGCAGTGCTCATACAAGAGCAGCCTTCTCCCTAACAAACAAACCTACCAAGTGGGGGAGGAAAGGAGGGGACAGAGAAGGAAATAAGAATAATCTACAGAGACTTTGTTAGACTCAATTATGATTTTTTTTAGTACATGCAATATAAAAATTTTAACTTGTGATACATAGCCCACAGTCACTGCCCTATGGACTCAACCACCAGCGCTGCTCAAAAGTAAATTAAATTAGATTCAAAATTAAATCTCAGAAGAGATGTGAACCACCCCACTAAAATTCATGGGTACATGGGTCTCTGGGCTGAAAACTCTGGAGTGCCCTCAGGAGGGGAGTAGGCTGAGTCCTTACCCTGCCAAAGTCCTAATAGCCGCACCCACACCCGACATCTACTGCCATCACTATAGCCCAACTCCACTGTTTCACACTAATCTCTGCAGAGACACCAGACTACAAAAATTCCAGGTACATCTGATAACTCCAGGGTCTTCTCAAAGTGGGATCAGGCAGCTCCCTATACTTCTGGAAGCCACACCCACAACCTACAGCCACCATCATGTCAGCCCAATTCTACAGATTCTGAAGTTTCTGGATACACAGCCACAAACACAGCCATGGGCACCTCTAAATTTTACAATGCTGACATCCCATTTAAAGCACACCAAATTAGATGGGAAAGTAACAGAGAAGCCATCTGCATAAACAAAATCAATGACACAGAAGTCCCAACTAGCAACAAAGCAGTTTAGTAAACCTTCAGAAAATGACTTAACAATCCCACTGTGAGATACAACAATTTTCACTAATTTTCTTTTATTTAAGTATTTTTGATAATTCCATCAGCCGTTTAGTGGTAACAAACAATATAGAATAAATTATTTTATATCTGCTAAGGCTTAAGGGATGGTTAGGAAAATGGAACATTGGTGGAGGGAAGATCATTCTGGTTGTGGGATTGGTGCTGGAACATTGAATATCCATAACTTCTGTATTACAAACAACTGTGTAAACCACAATGTTTAAAGAAAGTAAAAAAGAAAAATTGCCATAAAATAAATAAATAAATAAATAAATGCTATACATACAATGAAGGGCTATGTTGGAATTTTTACAGTGATGATATGAAGGCGGTGTTATAAATATATACATGTATATTCCTAGTGTAAACTTTCCTGTATGTTAATAATCAAAATAGTAAATTGGAGCACAGTACTTGAAAAAGCGTCATGGGAATTAAAAATAAGTAAGTGTGAACAGATGGCAATTAAGAAAACATCAAGACAAACAGAAACAAATCTATGTTCTGGGGGAAAAAACTTACTAAGAAGTGCAGGCAATGGGTCCCTAGGTGTTAAGAACCAATTTGGTTACAGTTTCTAGGCTTTTTCTAGCCTAGACATACTACATAACATCTCTGTATTGAAGGCATGAATGGGTTAGTACATATTTGATACATATTTAACTAGAAGAGTAGCTAGAAGCATCCAAAATGCACACATAAATGCATTTCATGAGTATTTACACACAACAGGAAATACATGTAGATAGATATCCTCTAATGCCTGTCCATCATGGGCACACAATTTTTTCTGTGTATTACTAAATACAAAATGGAGTCAGTTTATAAATACTATCATAATTTCAACCCTCAGTCAAAATCTTAGACTTGATAATAACATGAACCAAAGAACATTTAGAAATTACAAAGCCAGTTAATTTTCTAATTCGATGCTTTCACTACATATTTTAAACTTGTATCTCTATTAATGCTGTGTATATTTCATAGCGCCATTTTCTGTTACATCTTTCTGAAAATAGAATATTAACATAACTTTAAGAAGGTATTGTCAGAGAAGAAATCCTGAAACTCAGTTGTTAGTACAGGCATTCATTTTTTATATATTTAAAAGTCATACCAGGGTTAATTAATTGACAAATTAATAAGGAAGTGAAACTGAGGGGTTATGTACCTTCCTGAGGTGTCCTGCAGTGGCTTGTAATCCTTCATCCTACAGAATAAGGGAGTTCTCTCTTTACTCACACTGGCATCAACATTCCAGAGGGTGCCCACATTGAAAAAGAAAAATTTGGGGAACCCTTGGGCTAAAAGTCTTCACTTCTGGTCCTCCTGAAGATCAAGGAGCTGTTTGTGTGAGACCAACTGTCACTGCTGAGCTAGAAGGGCCCCAGTCTCAGGATTCCGAGCATCATTCCTGTCCAATTGGCAGTTAGAGAGGATTCAACTATGAACAATTATATGAAGGGCTGAGAGATGCCCAAGAGTAATAAATCAGCCTGTAGAGAAGAGAAAATCTTTCTCTGGACAGTGAAGTGGGTTATTAGGGAACTTCTCTAGGAGTGATTGGAGAAGACCTTCTGGTGATAATCTCATAAAACTTTGTCTTTGCAGTATGAACACTGATACAAGTGAATATATGTAGTATATATGGATACTTGTGCCTATATATGAATACACAGTTGGAAAAGCACATTCTAATATACATATAATATAAATTGTGCTGGAGCGATAGCACAGTGGGTAGGGCGTTTGCCTAGCACGCAGCCAACCCCTGGCCAACCCCGGTTCAATTCCCTCCCTCGTCTCGGAGAGCCTGGCAAGCTACCAAGAGTATCACGCCTGCATGGCAGAGCCTGGCAAGCTCCCCGTGGCATATTTGATATGCCAGAAACAGTAACAACAAGTCTCAGAATAGAGACGTTACTGGTGCCCACTCGAGCAAAACAATGAACAATGGGAGGACGGTGCTACAGTGCTACAGTGCTAATATAAGTTATGAAAAATATATGGTTTTTTTCTGCTTTGCTGAGACATATCCTATGGTAGCCTTTAATTTTGATACAATTTCCAGTTTTCAGAATAGCATAAGATAGCACAGGGTTAGAGAGACATCACAGAGATTAAGGTATTTGCCTTAATACAACCACCAAAGTTTTAACCCTGGTTGTCACATGGTCTCCCATAGAAGCAACCCCAGAGCACAGAGCTGGGTATTATCTGGGTATAAGCCCACCTAGCTGTGCCCCACATAAAAGTGCACAATTTTTGCACATTTTTATCAAAATGATCATTTTATGTATGCTTCCTCATTTACTTATACTATTCTCTCTCTTTCCCTTTCCCTCCCCCTTTCCACATATATATAAATATATATATAATATACTATATTCTGTTACCTAAGTATTTAAGAACAACATCACTTCCTATATAATGGGAAAACAAGGATAAATACCTATAAATCAAATACAGAAACACTACTATGAAATAAAAGTCCATGTTATAATTTTGTTAATTTTCCAGTGACATCCTTCATAATTAGTCTTTTACAAATTCAGCATATGATCCACGGTGTGCACATATGATTAGTCCACTGTGAATCTTAGGGCTGCTCCTTTATAAGCAATTTCCTTCTTTGATCTTGCTGCTTTCAGTGTTCCACCTCTATCTATGGTTTCTGTTATTCTGATTAGAATATGTCTTGAGGTATTTTTATTTGGACTTCTTTTAGCTGGTACCATTTGGGCCTCCTGAATTTGGGTACTCTTCAGCCCTGGTAACTTCTCAAAAATGATAGCTTTGATGGTTGCTTATTTATCATGATTTTTTTCCTGCCCCTCTGGAACTCCAATTGTTCTCAACATCATTACAATTTTCCCTTGTCATCTGTAGGTTTATTTTGAGAGTCTTTTCCATTTTCTGCTGTCTGGAGATTCTCTGTACCTCGTCTTGGCATTCACTGATTCTATCCTCAGCAGCTATTATTCTATTAGTGAGGCCTTCCAGTAAGTTTTTTGTTTCATCTACCTTGTTTTTCAGGACTGTCATTTCTGCTTTTATTTTCAGATAAATTCCTCCAGGCCCTAGGACAGTAGTGGGATATAGTGAACAAACTCAATGAAGTGAGTGAGTCACCAAGAATTCATTACCCAGCCAGACTCTCATCCAGTTTTGAAGGAACCATACACAATTTCACAAATAAAGAACAACTCAGAAACTTCATGGACACAAAACCATTGTTACAAGAGGAACTAAATGGACTACTTTAAGATAAGAAAAGTCTCACAAATACACCAACTGCTATCACAATAATCTTTCTCAATTTCAATGGATTAAATATACCAATCAAGAAGCACAGAGTGCAGGATGGATTAGAAAATTGAACGCAACATTCTGATGCATACAAGAAACATATCTGAACTATCAAATCAAATACACACTCAAATTCAAAGGCTGGGAAACAATTTTTCAACCAAACAAACCCCACACCAAAGCCAGGGTATCTGTACTGGTAAAAGAATGCATAGACCAGGCTGAAGGTTATAAGAGAGAGTGAATGTCATTTCTTAATCATCAAGGATCGGTATAACAGGAAGAACTCACACTCCTAAATGTCACTGTCACTGTCCTCCCATTGTTCATCAATTTGCTCGAGTGGGCCCAGTAACGACCCCATTATGACACTTGTTACTGTGTTTGGCTTATCGAATATGTCACGGATAGCTTTCCAGGCTTTGCCATGCGGGCGAGATACTCTAGGTAGCTTGCCAGGCTCTCCGAGAGGGGTGAATGAATCAAACCTGGGTCAGCCGACCGGGCCACATGCAAGGCAAATGCCCTGCCTGACATGCATCAAATGAGAGACCAGCAAAATACTTGAAACAACTGCTAATTGACTTGAAGAAAGACATTGAGAGCAACATATTAGTTGAAAACTTCAACACTGTTTTGTCACCTCTCAATAGATCAACCAGACTAAACCTCAGCAAGAAGACAGTATATTTGAGGGAAGAAATGTAAGAGGGGGTTAGTAGATATATACAGAACTTTTCATCCTCAAAAAGCTGAATACAGTGCTCGCTTCAGCAGCACATATACTAAAATTGGAATGATACAGAGAAGATTAGCATGGCCCCTGCACAAGGATGACAAATTCATGAAGCATTCCATATTTTTATTCTTGGCGTATCAATAACCAAGCTGTTCTATAAAAGTAGCTAACTCAAGGGTCCTTTGACTGTTATGTCGAAAACAATGTTTTATACTTCAACAAGAAACCCATAAAAAATAAATAACTATCAACCAATTATAGTTGGAAACCAGAAAAAAAAAGCTGAATACACATTATACTCCAGTGCAAATGGGACATTCTCCAAGATAGAACACATACTGGAGCACAAGACATACCTCCATAAAATTAAGAGGGTAGAAACTATATCTACTATCTTTTCAGACCATTGATGCACTGAAAATAGAAGAATCACACACAGAAGCAGAGAATCAAATCAAACATCTGAAAATTAAACAGCTTACTACAGAACAATCAGTGGGTTAGAGAGGAAATCAAAAAAGAAATCGAAAGATCTCTGGAAACAAATGAGAGTGAACCACCAGAACTGTGGGACACAGCAAGAGTGTGTTAAGAGAAAAGCTTATAAGTTCTGGAAGTATTCATCAGAAAGGAAAAAACGCCCACATCAATAACTTAATCTCACAGTTTAAGATCTTGGGAAATGACCAATAAAAGGAGTCTAAACCAGGCAGGAGAAAGTAAATAATAAAATTTAAAGCAAAAATAAATAAGTTGGGGGCTGGAGCAATAGCACACCAGGTAGGGCGAGTAGGGCGTTTGCCTTGCAGGCGGCCGACCCGGGTTCGATTCCCAGCATCCCATATGTTCCCCCGAGCACCACCAGGAGTAATTCCTGAGTGAATGAGCCAGGAGTAACCCCTGTGCATATCCGGGTGTGACCCAATAAGCAAAATAAATAAATAAATAAATAAGTTGGAATCTCCCCTTCCCCCCCGCCCCAACACACACACTAAAAAAAAAAAAAATCAAAAGATCAACAAAATCAGGGTTTAGTTCTTTGAGAAAATAAACAAGATCAATACCACTTCTAGGAATATATCCTGAGAATGCAAAAAAGCACAGTGATATGACATCTGTACCTATGTGTTCATTGCAGCACTGTTGACAATAGCCAAAATCTGGAAACAACCCAAAGTGCCCTAAAACAGATGGCTGGTTAAAGAAACTTTGGTACATCTACACAGTAGAATACTATGCAGCTGTCAGCTGAGAGGAAGTCATGAACTTTGCTTATAAATGGATAGACATAGAGAGTATCATGCTAAGTGAAATGAGTCAGAAAGAGAGGGACAGACATAGAAGGACTGCACTTCTATGAGGCAGCTGGAAGCCTGCCTCATGAGCAAAGGGGAGAAAGCAGCTGGAATAGAGAAGGGATCACTAAGAAAAAGATGGCTGGAGGAATCTATCAGGATGGGAGATGTGTGCAGAAAGTAGATAATGGACCAAACATGATAAACTCTCAGTGTCTGTACTGCAAACCATAATGTGCAAAAGTAGAGAGAGAGTATGGGGAATACTGTCTGCCACTGAGGCAGGGGGAGGGTAGGAAAGGGGGGTTATACCGGGGATATTGGTGGTGGGGAATGTGCACTGGTGGAGGAATGGGTGTTTAATCGTTGTGTGACTGTAACCCAAACATGAAAGCCTGTAACTATCTCACGGTGATTCAATAAAATTTAAAAAAAAGCCACTAGCAAGACTCACAAAGAAACTGAGAGAGAAACCTAATAAACTGCATTAGAGATGCAAAGGGGGACATCACAACAGAAACTTCAGAAATTCATAGAGACTACTTTGAAAATCTTTATGACACAAAAATAAAAACCTTTATGACACAAAACGGAGCGACAGCACAGCGGGTAGGGTGTTTGCCTTGCATGTGGCTGACCGGGGTTCGATCCCTGGCATCCTATATTGTCCCCCAAGCATTGCCAGGAGTGATTCCTGAGTGCAGAGCCAGGAGTGACCCCTGAGCTTCGCTGGGTGTGACCCCCAAAAAAGGCAAAAAAAACCCACAAGAAAACCTTAAAGAAATACATAAATTCCTGGATTTTTATTACCTCCCAAGGCTGGACCAAGAAGATTTGGAATACCTGAACAAATCTATTACTGTCAAGGAAATAGAAATGATACTCAAAAGCCTTCCCAAAAACAAAAGCACAGACCCAGATGGAATTCTTTCAAATGTTTTAAAAGGACCTATTGCCAATATTTTTCAAGCTTTTCCAGGAGATTTGAAGAAACAGAAACACTCCCAGTTTTTATGAGGCAAATATCACCCTGACACCCAAAGCAGACAGAGATTCCACAAAAAAGAAAATCTCAGATGGATATCCCTGATGAACACAGACACAAAGATTCTCAAAAAAAACTTTAGCAAATAGAATCCAGTGACTTATCAAAAAGATCATACACTGTGATCAAGTAGGATTCATCCTGGGGATGCAAGGATGGTTTAACATTCACAAGTCAATCAACATATTACACATACCAACACAAGAAAAGATAAAAACTATATGATCATACCAATAGGTGCAGGAAAAGCTTTTGACAATTTTCAACACCCATTCATGATAAAAATTCTTTACAAAATGAGAATTGAAGGAACTTTCCTCAATACAGCCAAGCCATCTACCACAAGCCCACAGCAAACATTTTTCTCAATGGTGAAAAACTAAAAGCCTTCCCTCTAAGATCAGGAACAAGACAAGGTTGCTGACTCTTTCCAGTTCTATTCAACTGGAAGAATTCGTTATAGCAATTAGGAAAGAAAAAAGATCTTAAGGATATCCAGATAGGAAAGAAAGAAATCAAGCTCTCACTGTTTGCAGATGACATGATACTATACTCAGAGAACCCTAAAGTCTCTACCAAAAAGCTCCTAGGAATAATAGAGTTGTATATGGATTAGCAGGTTATAAAATCAGTACCCAAAAGTCCATGGCTTTCATATATGCAAAGAATGAATGAGAAGAAGGTGATATTAAAAAAATCTGATTCACAGTTCTGCCACAGGAAATCAAGTACCTTGGAATCACCTTAACTAAGGAGATAAAGAATGTGTACAAAGAAAACTACAAAACACTACTTCAAAAAATAAAAAAGGATATAGGAAATGGAAATACAGCCTCTGCTCATGGATTGGATGGATTTAACATTGTCAAAATGGCAATATTCCACAAAGTATTATATAGATTCAATGTGGTCCCTATAAGGATACCCATGACATTTTTCAAAGAAATTGATCAAACACTCCTGAAATTTTTATGGAGCAATAAACCCCCATGAATAGCTAAAGTAATCCTTTGAAAAAAAGAAGATGGGAGGCATCAGCTTCTCTAACTTCAAACTGTACTACATATATAGCAGTATTAATTAAAACAGCATGGCATTGGAATAAAGACAGACCTATGGACCAATAAAATAAAGCTGAATATCCTGGTACAGAACTCAAATATAACATCACATAATCTTTGATAAGGGAACAAGAAATATGAATTGGAATAAGAAAAGCCTATTTTTTTATTTTTGGTCAGATCCAGCAATGCTCAGGGATTACTTCTTGCTCTGCACTCAGGAATTACTCCTGGCAGTGCTTGGGGGACCATATGGGACAGCAGGGATCGAACCAAGGTTGGCTGCAGCCCAGGTTGGCTGCGTGCAAGGTAAATGCCCTACCCACTGTACTATCACTCTGGCCCCAAGGAAAGTCTCTTTAATAAATGGTGCTGAGAAAACTGGACTGCTACATGTAAAATAAAATGAACTCTGACCTCTACCACCATGCACAAAAGTCAGATCAAATGGATCAACGATCTCAATATCAGACCTGAGTCCATAAGGTACATGGAAGAAAACATAGGCAAAATACTCTAAGACATTGAAGCTAAAGGCATCTTCAAAGATGAAACATCACTGATCAAGTACATTGGAAGCAAAGATTAACATATGGGAGTATATTAAACTAAGAAACATCTGTACCTCAAAAGAAACAGTGACTAAGATACAAAGACAGCAATACCTATCTGATAACAGATTAATATTAAAGGATACAAGGCACTGGTAGAACTTTACAAGAAAAAAAATCTACATCCATCAAAAAAAGAGAGAGAAGAAATAAACAGAAACTTCCTCAAAGAAGAAATTTGAATGACCAAAGGCACATGAAAAAATGCTCTTCATCACAAATCATCAGGGAGATGCAGATCAAAATAACAATTAGATATCATCTAACGCCACAGAGACTGCCACACTTCCAAATGAACAAGAGCAACCAGTGCTGATTCAGATGCGTGGAGAAAGTGATGAATTCATTTATTGCTGGTGAGAATGTCAACTGTTCCAGCCTTTTGGAAAACAACATGGACATTTCTCATAAAACTAGAAAGTGAGCTCCCATTTGACCCAGAAATACCACTTCTGGAAAAACCCTGAGAGTCAAAAAAACACACAGCAGAAACACCATCTGCACTTCTATGTTCTTTGCAGCACTATTCACAATAGTCAGAATCTGGAAACAATCTGAGTGCCTGAGAACAAGATGACTGGATAAAGAAACTATGGTACATCTACACGGTGAAATACTACACAGCTGTTAGGCAAAACTAGGTCATGATATATTCCTATAAATGGATGGACTTGGTGAGTATCATGCTGAGTGTAATGAGTCAGAGGGAAAGGCACAGGTACAGGATGATTGCTTTCATTTGCGGGATATAAAAAAAAGTAGTATGAAACTAATATCTAAGACCAGGAAAAACAGGCCTGGATGATTAGTCAACGGTTGGAAATTACCATAAGGTTATGGGAGTGGAGGGTAATTAAAATAGAAGAGGGTCCATTATGACAACTTTAGTTGAAAATGATCACTCTGGACAAGAACTGAGTGTTGAAAGTATGTAAAGGGATACAAACCTTTCAGCATCTATATATGTATGTCTAAAATGAGAGAGAGAAAGAGAGAGAGAAGAGAGGTGCCTGCCATAGAGGCAGGCTGGGGAGAGGGGTGGCTTGGAGGGGTTGGAGGGAAACTAGGGAAATTACAACTGGTAGAGGGATGAGTGTTGGAATATTGTATGAC